TTTCTCAGCTCGGTTTTTCACAACAGAGTAGAGAAGAATTTATCGTTTGCTCGCGAGCTAAAGGTTTCAATTTTTTTCGCACAAACTGGGTATTGAACCAAAATTGGAGTTCTTTAGTATCTCAGATAAACGTGAATGGAAATTTTATGAAAGAAAATTGCCATTTAATTTGCTCATTATGAACGCCGGGTTATTAAAGTCTACTGTCACTGGAATTTGGAATTCCTTAACTCATTGATTTTCCGTGAGCAAAAGAAGAAGAAGATCGCCAATGTCATAAAAATATGAATTGAAAGTAGAGAGTGAATGAAATACTCGAACGAATGTTTAATAGTTTTGCAAAACTCGAATTTGAATTTGAAAGAAAAATTGCAGTCATTGTGAATAAATTTTTTTAACCACTAGATAGCTATTTGCTTTAACGGAAAGCAGGCTTCCTAAAACATTGCCTGAAGTAAGCCACTGAAAACAGTGGCAAAAATTTTATTGTCTATTTATGTACATCAAGTGAAGTGTCCAAACATTAAAGGTTACACTATTTGCATATACTGAAATATTTTGTCGAAAACAAGGAGTCAATAACATAGAACGTAAGGCATTTCATTCCTAATTATAGTAGTTGAAGTGATAATTTACCAAAAATTCCAAATTTTAATAAATGTCGCAAAGATAGTTTACAGAAATGCGAACACCATAGGATTTCATCAACAGACTCGAAAGTTAGGACTACGTACAAAATAACATTATAACATAGCTAGAAAATTCGCCTAATCAAATTCAATAGCGCGAGCGTGCTTCATATTCCTATTGAGCACGCTGATGACGTCAATAAACTGTTCGTAATTCCTCGAGTTGTTGTGAGCTCAGCAATCCTGAGTCTCCTGAGTGCATCCATAACTCAGCAATAGACAATGAAGCGTTTACCATGTGTTTTGTAAAGAAATTTAAGAGGAAACGTTTGAATTTGTTAACCGATAGTAAGGAAAAGAGGTGAGTGTTGTTGTTGTTGTTGTCATCTCCGCGAGCTGTGCGGGCTATGGCGTGAGCTCATTCTTTGCAAAGTTGTTTTCTCTCAATAACAATTTTTCGGTAAATTAATAGTTTTCCGGCACCTAAATATGGATTTTACAATCATTTTAGAGTACACTTTCTCTCAGTTTCAGGATAAAAACATAAGATTAACTGTGAGGAAAAAAGATATATTCACGTAAACATTGACGCGTACTGCTTTGAGCGCGCCCTTCAATAATAAAATTTTCAGTTAACTGCTGCATTGATCACTTTGATAATGTTATAAAACAATTAGTTCATGCTGCAGCTGTGCGTATGTCGAGATATTGAGCACTTGGGAAGTTTGGAGAGCACTCAAGAGGCTAGAGTTGCACTCGGCTGCGCCTCGTGCAACTCTTACGCCTCTTTCGTGCTCTCCAAACTTCCCGCGTGCTCAATATCTCGACATACGCACGCTGACGCATGAACTAATTGTTAAGTAACATGTGAAAGTAATGATGAAGAGCTTTCATTTGGATGGTAACCTGACCATAGGAACTATTCGGACTCAGAAGTCAGTTACATTCGCTTTTCCTTTGAAAAATGAAACAGCTGAAGAAGACGTGAAGTGCTGCTAAGACTAGTTTTTTTTTTCCAAAGTAATAACATTAATGACAAATTCGACGATGTATTATCACATTGCAATCAAATCGTAGACGTTTTGCATTGATGTTTACAAGACAGCCTATGTTAAGATTTTTGTCTTTTCTGTCATTTCCAACTGAAATTCGTATCACACTTGCCAAAATTCAAGAAATCAAAACTGAATCTTTGGGCTCTTGGTTTCAGTTATTACGTTGAAAGATACTTTCCTACAGAAGAGTACACTCACTTACTAGTCTAAAACAATTTCACTTAATCGATGGAGAGGCAACATAAATTGGAGAAATTTGTTTGTTAAGAGATTTCTACACAAGTAAATTCCTATGTACCGAAACATCACTCTTAGAAATTTTTGTATAAAATTTAGGACTTCAAGAAAGTTAAGTTGAATGACGAAAGGTTTTCAAAATTTTAAGGCTGTAAGACCAAAAAATACAAGTTTCAATCACAGCTAAATTTGGAGCACTTTACTTGCTCATTGTGATTTTCGTTCTTGTTCGAACATTTTCGGAAAACCTTCGTAGATCTTCGTGACGCTAGCTTTCTCTCTGTATGTTGCATATAAAAAGAAATCGTTTTACAAAATCCATTCATTCTGTATCTGCTCTGAAGTATTATCTGAATTAATTGACTTAGTACATAATGATTTCATGCTTGGCTATCAGCTGGAGCACTTAGCAAACAGTATTTGAGGCAAAAAGCGAACAAATGTTTATCATCTTTATCACAAGAGTATTTTCAAAATATCGCAAGGCCATTCAATAACTTTGGGCAATTTTACTCTCCATAAAATCAAATTACACCTAAATTACTTTATGTATTTACGTCCTTACATTTGAATATGCTGCAATATTTTGGCAATTTCACTCTACATGGATTTAAATTACGTCAGTATTAGGTTATTTCGGGAATGAATGGAAGAGAATAACGAATCTTTTCGGTACCTAGGGAGGCTGAACATATTTGCAACCCTTAAAAATCTAATCTTTCACTGTTAATTGATATCTGTGGACTAAGTTTTATTCAATTCATTTTTTGAACCAGACAATGGGTTTTATGTTAAGCTATTGTTATTGTACTTTGGTAAAAGACTTATTTCAGTGAACAATTTACGTAGCACAGGAATAAATATTTAACAATGGGGAGGTGACAATTATTTTCTTTCAATGATGGCGGGGGCGGTTTGCGGTTTTAAACTGCAAAAAACTTGGGTGAACAGCAAAGAAAAGCAAAAGGGGAATTAAAATTTCTAGCTTAAAGTTTACTTCTGTTTCTTCCCTGTGCTATAAATACGAATTGTATTCGCTGAAATAGGTCTCAGTATTGAATGTAACACCAGCTTGTGCAAGAATAAAACGGAATGTCCATTGGACACAAGATAAGACACTGAAAGGAAACTTTTCAAGGAAATTCTGTTTGGTTTGAGCCAGAAATGAGGCTAAAAATGACTTTAAAATTTGGCAAGAAAAGTTTTGTGGAAATTTTTGCTCACAATTTCTTGCACGAGATGGTGTAAGAGGCAACTTGGCAAGCTATAAATAAGTTTAAAAATAAAAATAGAATTGCAAAGGGAGGGAAACTTTCCAAAAAGCGATAAATTGTCGCAAGTCCAAAAACTTGTTTGTTTTTTTTTTTTCGTTTGGCTTCAAACTTTTATGTAGATTCACAGTTTTTGTCTTTCAAACTGAACTGTTTACAGCTTGCCATCTTTTGCTTCCAACTGTTAAGGCTAAGTAATACGAGCAATATTTTCCTGTAACTTGTCGCGCACAAGGCTAGATTCGGTTTGTTGCGCGTATTACCTTCTACCCTCTCAGCAAATTTTCACGCTGCAAAGAGTAGAAGTCTCTTCTATCCTTTGCAACACGAAAATTAATTGAACGAGTAGATGGTAAAGCACACAGATTCAGTTTGTGTGCTTTACCATTTACTTGTTCAACTAATTTTCGTGTTGCAAAGGATAGAAGAGACTTCTACTCTTTGTAGGGTAAAAATTTGCTGAGCGGGTAGAAGGTAATACGCGCAACAAACCGAATCTTGCCTTGCAACGTAGTCTTGTGCGCGACAAGTTACAGGAAATTATTGTTCGTTTCACTTGGTCCTAAGCTTGTGCAAAACGTTTGTTAAGAAATTTCTGAGAAGTTAAAGTTGAAAACTTTTGCACCAGAAGCTCTATTAAGGTTTTAGCTGAGAATTTTTTAAAGGCAGGTCTTGCACATTTTTGTGTCGAAAATGTTGTCAGGGGAAACGCTGTGCAAATTTGCTCAGATTTTCCCGCCAAAAGACTTAGTATATTTTTGAAAAATTTTTCTTGACAAATAAAACATTATTGAACTAAACAAAAGTGTTGATTGCTTTATTGTGTTGTAATAATAGTAAGAGCAAGAAAGAAAATGAAATAAAAGACAAGTTGAAAAATACTTTTTTATTCTTTTTAATAGTAGTAGTTGAAGTAAATAAACTTTTAATTTTTTTTAAAAAAATACGACGCATGCGCCGTGGGCGCGCCGTATTTTTTCTAAGTCTTTTGGAGCCACATTCCAATCATATTTTCGTGAAGACAAGAAATTAACATAAAAAATTATCTCAACAACTCTAGGATTTTCAGAAAGAAATTGCGCAGAATAACTTACCAAGGAATCGTCTTTTTGATATCTTAGTCGCTTTATGAAAAAAAAAAAATAAAGAAGGTCTGAATGGAGAATTGAAATTTGTACAATGTAAATATTTGACGCACGAGTAGCCAAAAAAATGAGACTTAAATTTCCGCAAAGACAGAAAAGCAATCGATGCTATAGAACAGAGCGCCTAAAACTAGGACCAGTTGTGAATTTGAACATATTACTTGTGTTATTACTCGCAGAGAGCCAAATAACTCGGTTAATTTTGTTTGTATGGCAATAGACTGAATGGCTTGTACACTCGAATACAATTTCTTCCTATCACAATACAAACAGAATCAAATTAACCACGTTATATCATGGCAGGTAGAAAATAAAGTTATACGTTCAAATTCACAACTTTTCCGATTTTAGGCACTTTTTTCTGCAGTACTGAATGTTTGTCTGTCTTGGCAGAAATTCAAATCCAGCAATGGCGATGGTTTTTATTAAAGAATGGAAATTAAACTCCATCGGCTGATTTCCTGAGCAATTGCTCACGCCGTTTCCAATATTGTGGCGACCATTACATATTTATCATCTTAAACTGGTGTTTGTTTGTCAATGAAAACAAAGCTGTCAATATTCTAGTTATTTTTCGACTGGATACTAAGCCGGTTGTAGTGTAAATAATTGCTCAAACAAACTCTCACCATAAATTGTAAAAAGCCATTTTCTTTTTTGTAAAAGGTTCAAAACAGAATTAGAATTTGTCCTGGAGTGAAGCCGCTTTCAATAAGATTTGCATACAGATCCAAGGACTTGAATTCTCATGTGAAGCAGGATTTAGAATAATTGACTTAACAAACGATTTTTTTACATCATAAAATCTACTTTGAAAACCTTTTGGCGAAAAGCTTTTGGAAATCATAACGTAAAATTTACTTTTGATCATGTTTTATCGAGCTTCCCCTGTAACTGAAATTATTGATCATTTTATTGGCTCTGATTTTGTCTATTCCTTCCTTCCTTCGTGTAAACATTTGAACTTAGAAACAGAGTTACTTTGACCAACGATTTTTGTTTTGTTTGAGCCTTATTTGGATACCCAATTTGGACAAAAAATCTCCAACCTTTACCGGATACGTAAGAAAATTAATCGATCATTTTTTGGGTTCTGTTGCCTTGAACCATCGAGTCAGAATTAATGTAAAAAACAGTAGCAGCTTTTCTTTGATTGACATCCACTACATCTAGCTTTCTTCACTCTAAAATGAAGTGTAGGTCGCACAAGATTGACAACTGCTATAAGCTTTCACTGAGTCAATCAGTTATGCATCCATTCAGACCTTCTTTCGCACTTGCCCTATTTTTTCGGGAAAAACGTTTAAATATCTACTCTTGCTACCTTTACTTTAAAGAGGTTCCTCCATCAGTTCTTCCTTTTAATTTGATCTCCCTCTGTGTTCCTTCTCCTTGCTGCGAGCGGGCTCCTCCCTTGATTCAGTGTACAATCCATGCATCGAGTCCACTCATCTTTCTTCAAGGAAATCAGATAAATAAATGAATAAATAAACAATTGCCTATGCAGTATTATTCATGTCATTTCTTGAGTTATCATTTACATAAAAAGCTGGTAGTAGAGGGAAGAAGAGAGACCTGTATTTTCTACAACATTTCTTTTTAATGTCACTGGCACATATTTTAGTAATTTTTAATTATTCCTGTTTAATTAATGAAAGGAACTTAACTATCTCACAATACAACAACTAAAGTACATTGTAAAAAAAAAGCAATTCCATTAAGAGAACAGGTCACATGCTAACTTATAAGAATAGTCGCTTTAAAAAATGCAGAAGAGCAAGTACGAAATAGAGAGGCAATAAAAGGCGATTAAAACAAAAATTTGACCCTGATGTTCCATAAATAGTTTGAAGTTACAGCACAGAGTTCATTAGAACTACGCAACGTTGTTTGTGTACAAGTAGTGTGGTAGTGGTAAGTCTGTAGTCAATAAAGTTGATGTGGTCACTGTAATCTGTGACGTCAATGTAGTCAGTAAAGTCAGTGTAGTTGGTGTTGACGGTGTAGTCGGTTGCGACGGTTTAGTCTGTGTTGACAGTTTAGTCGTTGTCGACGGTTTAGTCGGTGTCGACCGTGTAGTCACAGTAGTCTGTGTAGTCACCCCAGTCTGTGTAGTTGGTGTCTGTAGACAGTGTAGCCACTGTATTCAGTGTAGTCACTGTAGTTAGTGCATTTGATGCAGTCACTGGCTAGGCAGCGTAGTCTTGTAGTCACTGTAGTCACTGTTAGGGTTAGGGTAGAAGTAACGGTTTACAATCAAAAATCACTGTATTTGATTGCTGTATCGGTGATACATAATTGTAGTTTAAATTTAGGGTTTTCCCACTGCTATACAACTCTAGGGTAGAGGTTTATAGCAGTGCCCCTAATCTGGTCAGTTCAAGCACAAGCTTTTTTCTTAACTGTAAAGGCACAAAGTAACTGGGTTACAATTTAAGTACAATGCAGGACTCATAAACTCTGCGTACAATGCCAACTAAGTTCTAATAACATACACTGTGACCTCTAGAGCCTATTACTGTTGTAAAAGCATGAAAGCTGTTGTATATTACAAATGGTACAGAAAAACATTATACAGTATTGAAAATCATTGTTAGATTTGTTGTTGCTGTTTTTCAGAAAAATAATTCGAAGAGTGCAACAGAGAAGTATGAATGCCCATTAATCGAGATCAACAGATATCTACAAATCTAAACACACACAAGTCTACAAATCTAAACACACACAAACACTTTTTAAGCTTCCAGATATTCCAGACAATTTCATGAACTCTAGGTAGCGCAAAATTGGGGTTCTCCCCACTTTTATGTCCTTTGTACTCACTTTCAAAATTTAGTTGTTTCTTTATCCATAAATTAATGTTCCTATTGATCACATTTTTGTTTATTTCACTCTTTAACTTAAAACGATTTGAGAGGAACACCAATAAGATGAGTAATAAAAACTTGTTAAATTTACTTTTGCCAGAAAATCCATTAGTCATCTTTATTTAAAAAAAAGGTGTTTCCTCATTGGTCGCAGAAAAAAAAATTCCACATCATTGTTTATCATTACTTTCCTTGGTTTCACCGTTAGGGTATCCAACCAATTGGCTTTTAGGGTTAGGAGAGCTGTTACATGTCCTTTTACTTCTGTGGATCAACACTATCACTTACAATAATGGTATCAAACTGCGAAGAGCATGAAAAAAATGTCCCTTTTTAAACAAGGTTTAAGAGAAATCGCCATGGTGACAATGGTCACCTTAATTTTCTGACTTTTACCGTGGCTCTAAACCTGGTTTCACAATATTTTGTATTCTTAGTTCATCACTTGGGCATGTTTAGTCACATACAATACATGCAGTCATGAAGCTTAATTTTTAGTAAATGTTCAAAATACTTTAAGTGTTTCAAACTGTTACCGACCACCTTAGAGGAAAAAAGAAAGTTATGATGCTGATCTCTTTGATTCCAGATTGTAAATAGTGTGTCATGTTTCGGGACCAAAATATTGGATACTCCGTCATGCCAGTTGCTCAGGTATAGCTGTCAACAAGAGCTCACCAAGAGAGCCAGTGCCAAAAGCTAAACTTGAGTCTGTTCTTTTCATGTACCATACAGAATCCAGCTGGTGATTGATTCTTTAAGCAAGAAGCTGATTGGATGATTTATCTGACCTTTGTTGTGAGAGGACAACTTGATCCTGTTTAAGCATTAAGGTCATGCGTTGGAGATTAGCCTAAAATTCTGATTAGATTTGTTGTTGCCGTTGTTCAGTTAAATTTTTTGAAGAGTGCAACAGAAAAGTATGAGTACCCATTAATTGAGATCAACAAATATCTAAAATTGCAAATCCAAATGCCAAAAAAGAAACTTTTTAAGTTCTTAAGCTTCCTGATATTCCACACAATTATATAACATATGAACTCTAGGTAGCCCTCACTTTCAAAATTTAGTTTTTTTTTTTCATAAGAGTTCCTTTTGAACACATTTTTTCTCATTTCACTATTTAACTTGGATCGATTTGAGAGGAACACCAATGACTAAAACAACTTGTTAAACCTAATTTTGCCAGAAAATCTATTAATACTAACAAAATGATAATAATATCAATAATAATAACAGCACCTTATCACATTATAGAACAGTTTCAAAAAGAAAATTTCAGACCATAGCTTTTTCAACTACCATCTTAAATATCCTGTTATGCAAAATCCAGTGGATTCACAAGGTTCTATTTTTAAAACAAGTCCCTATCAAGCTGAAACTGAACTTGACGTAAAAGAAACATTGTTTGAAATCTACGAGGGCTTGGTTGTCTTGGATTTTAAATGTGATAAAGTCAACTGGCAATAAGAGCTTCTACTTGAGTTTAATCTACAATGAAAGCTACAAGTAAGCAGCATTCTTGTTGGAATTTAAGCTAGCTTATATCAATCCTCATTTTCTCTATCATTTTAGCACTTTTACTAAGTAATGTAGGAGCTGCTCGTAAGGTATTTACTCACTGGTCACAGAAAAACAAAACCACATCATTATTTATCATTACTTTCCATTGTTTCACCGTTAGGGAATCAAACAGATTGGCTTTTAGGGTTAGGAGAGCTGTTACATGCCCTTTTACTTCAATGGATCAACACTATCACAATACAATAATGTTATCAAAAATATATTTGATGATGAGGATTAAAGGTGATGTTTCTTTTCAGAGACAGGATATCTCAACTCAACATAGCATACCTCATAATGACAGATTGCAAAAAGCAAGAAAAAATATCCCTTTTTAAACACGTTTTAAGACAAATCGCCATGGTGAGTTTAAAGTCACCTTAATTTTCCGACTTAAGGTGGCTCTGAACCTGGTTTCACATTATTTTGTATTCTATGTTCTTCTTTTGGGCATGTTTAAACACATACAATACATGCAGTCATCAAGCTTAATTTTTAGAAAATGTTCAAAATACTTTACCTGTTCAAAACTGTTGCCGACCACCTTAGAGCAAAAAATAAAGTTATGACTCTGATCTATTTGATTCCAGATTGTAAATAGTGTGTCATGTTTAAGTTCTAAGGAGAACGTACACTGTAACAATTCTTAGCTATGACTACAACACTGGTTTCAGGACCAAAATATTTACTTAGCAAACCAAAATACCAAAATAATTACTTAGGTATAGCTGTCAACAAGAGCTCAACAAGAGAGCCAGTGCCATAAACTAAACTTGACTCTGTTCTTTTCATGTAGTATACAGAATCCAGCTAGTGATTGGTTCTTTAAGCAAGAAGCTGATTGGATGATTTATCTAACTTTTGTCGTAGGAGGACAACTTGATCCTGTTTAAGCGTTTAGGTCATGCATTAGAAATCCAGTGTGGAAGATCAGCCAAAAATTCTGATTAAATTTGTTGTTGCTGTTGTTCAGAAAAATAATTCGAATAGTGTGCAACAGACAAGTATGAATACCGCCATTAATCAAGATCAACAAATATCTAAGTTTGCAAATCCAAACACACACAAAAGAAACTTTTGAAGCTTCCAGATATTCCAGACAATTATATAACATATGAACTCTAGGTAGCTCCAGCCCCTTTTGTTCTCACTTTCAAAATTTAGTTGTTGATGTTGTTGTTGTTTTTTTTTTCGCAAATGTTCCTATTGATCTTATTTTTTTTTGTTTCACTCGTTAACTTGGATCGATTTGAGAGGAACACCAATGAGTAGTGACAACTTGTTAAAACTAATTTTGCCAGAAAATCTATTAGCCATCTTCATTCAAAAAAACAAATTGTTACAAATACTGAATTCATAATAGTAATGATAACAAAATGATAATAATATCAATAATAGTAACAGCACCTTATAGCACAGTTTTAAAAAGAAAATTTCTGACTACGGCTTTTTCAACCACCATCTTAACCTGTTATGCAAAGTCCAGTGAATTCACCAGGTTCTATTTTTAAAACAAGTCCCTATCAAGCTCAAACTTGATGTAAAAGATACATTGTTTGAAAATTAAGAGGGCTTGGTTGTCTTGGATTTTAAATGTGGATTAAGTCCACTGGCAATAAGAGCTTCTACTTGAGTTTAATCTACAATGAAAGCTACGAGTAAGCAACAGTCTTGTTGTAATTTTAGCTGGCTTATATTGATCCACGTTTTCTCTATCTTTTTAGCACTTTTACTCAGTAATATAGGAGCAGTTGTAAGGTGCTTCCTCATTAGTCGCAGAAAAACAAAACCACATCATTGTTTATCATTACTTTCCATTGTTGCACCGTTAGGGGATCCAACCAATTGGCTTTCAGGGTTAGGAGAGCTGCTACACGCCCTTTTACTTCAATGGATCAACACTATCACAATACAATAATAGTATCAAAAATATATTTGATGATGAAGATCATTGCCTATTTCTATGGTGATGTTTTCTTTTTAAATAACCTTTTAACTTAGGTTTTAAAAGAAATCGTCATAGTGGGTTCAAACTTCAGTGTCAACTTGATTTTCTGACACTTACGGTGGCTCTGAACCAGGTTTCACATTATTTTGTATTCTTAGTTCATCTTTTGGGCATGTTGCTTCACATTATAAAACATGTAGTCATCAAGCTTAATTTTTAGAAAATGTGCAAAACACTTAAGTATTCAAAACTGTTGCCGACCACCTTAGAGCAAAACAGAAAGTTATGAAGATCCATGTGATCAGACGTACAAATCGAGACAAGAGCACAAAACAAATTTAAATGAATCGAGGATAACAACTGCTTTTGGCTCAGCTGTACAAACACATCATAATCAAGTGAAAAGCACATTCACAATTCAGTTCGTTCATGGGTCATATCCTGTTGCATAACACAAGTCATTATTTTTTTTTAATAGTCAAAGAATAGCCCCACTTATAATTGTGCATAGCATAGTAAAGTATTTTGAAATTGAATAACTTGTTCTTGGTTTTGTTGTTGTTCACCATATGTCAAAGGATTATACCGGCCAGCATACAGGATACTTTGTACACAAGAACAGACACTACTCCCCCAAAGGACTTGTGTTAGGAATGTGATCTTAGCTTCCATTTCCAGAAAATCAGTTATATCCGTTTGAAATAAAAATGACTGTAGTCACTGACTTAAGTAGCAATAACCTCCAAATAAAAAAAATCACATTTGCTGGCCAAAAGAGATAAAAGAGACAAAACAACATTATACCTAAGAATGCCTTAATTAAACCCTTTAACCCACTCGCCCCTGAACCGCCCGTAACCGCCGGTGCGGATCCAGGTCCTTTCTACCCATTGTGACGTCATCAGTTTTAACGGTCAAGGACAACTTTCTTCCCTAACTTGTGCAGAGTGAAGAGATCTTTCAAACCATACCAGAATGAGCACACCGGAGAAACTTAGTCAAGCACACCGGAGAAACAAGCAAAAAATCACCTGACATTGACCTGAAAATCTCCATGAAAATCTTGTTCCATTACCCACCTACCTTTCCTTTCACCTAATCCTAAGATCCTAAAAGCTTTCCTAAAAACTCTTCCCACCAAAACGAAGCCTACTAAATGCCCAGCAAGAGAAAAAAAAATGAGGCAAGAAAAGCGAAAAAAGAAGGGAGGAGAGAAAGCGAAAAGTAAAAGTCCAGACTGCTGTGTCACTTTTAAACCCAATCTCGAAATTTTGCTTTCTGCGCATGCCCGAACTTCGCAAGCTGATATTTTGCATCTGGATCAGAAGGCCGCGAAGTGTTCGACTTGTAAACCAGTTTGTGGTAAGTTTTAGCTCTTTATAGCACGACAGTGACCAGAAAACCACTCGACTAGCTTCAAAACGCGTTTTTCGGCAAAATCTCCAGGAGCGAATGGGTTAAGCCACAATATCCATGTGCGAATTCTCCCAAGTGATCTAAGAGAATTTGATAAAAGATCAAAGCATGTCCTCCTTTGTGATGATTTTATTAATTCTCTTAACCTATATTCTTGATTAATGTTTGAAAATGTTAGGAGAAACTTGATGTTAGTCACTATTGTGAAAAGAGGCCAGACACACTGAGGGAGCAGAGCCTGAGTGAAGAAGGTGGCATTATCTCTTTGCTTTTTAAGCAGTCAAAAGCAAAAAAACAGATACAATTCAATTCGTAAACTAGGATAGTTTTTAAGTCTCTCGTTAATTTAATATACATACTTTATGCCCTATTTATTTTGTTACGTAGGTAAATGGCAACTGATTGCTGATGTGGAATCAGTGCATGTCATTTTGCATGTCTGATATTTCCATAGTCTACAACGGCTTGTTTTTTTATCTAGAACAATCACCAAACATGTGTTTTAAGCTTATTTCACACAAAAACAACAAATGAAAAATTTTAACATGTTTGACCAAAATCATGGACTAACCCCTCAGGAAATATCCAATTTGGCAGGTAGGAAATATTAATATTTTATAGTCTAGAAAAGCTTGTTTTCTGTCTAGAACATCACCAAAAATTTTTTCTGAGCTATTTTTTGCATGAAAAAAAAAACGGAAAAAATTTAAAAATTTGACCAAAATCATGGACCAGCCCCTCGGCAAACATCTAATTTGGCGGCTAGGTAAAATTGATATTTTTAAGGCCTAGAAAGGCTTGTTTTTATGTAGAACACTAACCAAACATGCAATCTAAGCTTATTTCGCACAAAAATAAGAAGAGGAAAATTTTAACATTATTTTTTGACCAAAATCATGGGCTATCCCTTAGAAAACATCCAATTTGGCAGCTGGGTAAAACTGATATTTTTATAGTTTAGAAAGGCTTTTTTTCAATCTAGAGCATCACCAAACATCTTTCACGAGCTATTTTTTCCACGAGAAAAAAAAAATAAAAAAAATTAAAAATTTTGACCAAAATCCTGGACCAGCCCCTCAGGAGACATCTAATTTGGTGGCTAGGTAAAAACTGATATTTGTGTAGTCTAGAAAGGCTTGTTTTCTATTTAGAACATCACCAAACATGTAGTCTAAGCTTATTTCCAGACAAAAACAAGAAATGAAAATTTTTACATTTTTGACCAAAATCATGGACTATCCCCTAAGAAAACATCTGTTCGTGGGTTATCTTTTAGAGGACAGGTAGCTTGCAAACTAAACTGAACGCAGGGTTGTCGGAACCGCAACAAGAAGATTTATTCCAAAAATGAACGTCGTTTCCACGAAGTACAACTCCACAACAGCACGTAACTTGTTAAACTTACACGGCCTCCACCAACTTGAATTAACACTCCTTCTGTCACACTTGACTAAACACGACTAACACCAAACTCTCTCGCTTGTGAAAACTAGTTAAAACTTTACTCGGACTAGCCTACTTACATACTTTCACAATAACAGTCTAGAACTTTCTAAATAGTCTAATTATAGAAGATTACAAAATATACCGCTTTAGAAACGCTTACACAAGATCCTAAAATAAACAAACTATGAACTCTCGCGAACCTTCTAGAAAGTCACGCTAGTCACGCAATACAATTTTTCGTAACAACATCCAATATGGCGGCTGAGTAAAACTGATATTTTTATGGTTCAGACAGTCTTGTTTTCTATCTAGAATATCACCAAACATCTTTCCTGAGCTATTTTTTTGAAAAAAAAAAAAAAAAAAAATGTTAAAAATTTTCACCAAAATCTTGGACCAACCCCTCAGGAAACATCTAATTTGGCGGCTAGGTAAGATTGATATTTTTATAGTCTAGAAAAGCTTGTTTTCTATCTAGAATATCACCAAACATCTTTCCTGAGCTACTTTGACGGAAAAAAAATGAAAAATTTTAAAAATTTTGACCAAAATCATGGACAACCTCTCAGGAAACATCTAATTTGGTGGCTAGGTAAAATTGATATTTTTATAATCTAGAAAAGCTTGTTTTCTATCTACAACATCACCAAACATCTCTTCTTCACAAAGCAATCTATGGAACAGCTCCTAATTATTTATCATCTCTCGTTAATTTTAAACCTAATTCTTCCTACAGCCTCAGATCAAATAACAAATATCTGCTTTCAAATCCTAACTTTAGGACTCTCCCTACTCTTGGTGACCGAGCCTTTGTAGCCGCCGCACCAAAACTGTGGAATAATCTTCTGTTAGATCTTAGATGCACCTCCGATTTTCAAGTTTTTAAACGTAATTTGAAGACTCACCTTTTTAAAAAAGCCTTTTGTGATAGAATGTTGTAATTAAATGTTGTAATTTTTTTTTTTTTTTACGGTATAGTTTTAGATCTTTTATTGTAAGGTATATTTTTAGATCTTTAATTGTAAGGCGCATTTGAAAACTGTATAGTTGAATTTGCGCGTTATAAATAAATGTTATTATTATTTTTCTTAGCTTTTTTCAGACAAAAACAAGAAATGAAAAATTTTAACATTTTTGACAAAAATCATGGAAACATCCAATTTAGCGACTGGATAAAATTTATATTTTGATAGTTTTAGAAAGACATGTTTTCTATCTATCCAGAACATCCCAAAAAATATTTTCTAAGCAATTTTTTCGCACAAAAACAAGAAAAACTTTTAAAATTTTTGACAAAAACCATGGACTAAACCCTGTCCTTTAGAAAACATCAGATTGGCAGCCAGGTAAAATTGATATTTTTATATCCTGTCAACAACATCACCAGACATGTATCTTTTCTAACCGTTTTTTTGCACAAAAACAAGAAATGAAAAATTTTATCATTTTTGACCAAAATCATGGACTAACCCCTCAGGGAATATCCAATTTGGCGGCTGGGTGAGATTGATGTTTTCATAGTTTTAGAAAGGCATGTTTTCTTTCCATCTAGAACATCGCCAGGCATCTTTCCTAAGTTTTTTTCCGCATAAAAGCAAGAAATAAAAAGTTTTAAAACATCATGGACAAACCCCTTAGAAAACATCAAATTTGGCAGCCAGGTAAAATTGATTTTTTGTTGTCTAGAAAGGATGTTTTCTTCCTATCTAGAACATCATTAAATATATTTTCTAGGCACTTTTTCGCACAAAAACAAGAAAAAAATTAAAAATGTTTGAAACTATCACTGACTAAACTCTTAGAAAACATCAAATTAGCAGCCAGGTAAAATTGATATTTTTATGTTCTGAAAAGGCTTGTTTTCTATCTAGAACACCACCAAACATCTTTTTTAACCTTTTTTTGCACAAAAACAAGAAATGAAAAATTTCAACATTTTTGACCAAAACTGATGGACTAACCCCTTAGGAAACATCCAATTGGCGACTGGGAAAAAACTGATATTTTTAGAGCCTAGAAAGGCTTGTTTTCTGTCTAGAACATCACCAAACATCCTATCTAAGATTTGTGACTGCAATAATAAAAATGAGGCAGAACAAACGCTCGATACAGTAATTCCTTGACCTTGCACGGAAGAATGTTTTGTAACCTATTCAGCGCATTTACCTGCCCCCCTACTTTGCGACACACGGACACAACATGTACATCAAATTTGAGCTTTCTATCCAACGTTACACCTAGTAAGTTAATCTCATTTGACATGGGTATCGTTTCGTTAGCACATTGAAAGTTAATATCACAACCTTTTCTGCCCAAAACTATTGCCTGATATTTTTTAGGGTTGGGCATCGTGCCGTTTTCTTTGAACCATAGCCTTGCACTTTCTAAGTCCCGATTAATTCACACCTTCTACAATTTGAGGTTCGCTGTGTGATAGATAAATCTTGGTATCGTCAGCATAATTTAACATTTTGGAATTCTCAATCGTGTACACTAAATCGTTCATAAAGATGTTGAACAACAATGGTCAGAGAATGCTGCCTTGAGGTACCCCTGCAGACACACCTATCCAGCTCGAGAAGGTATTTCCGAGTTTAACCCGTTGATATCTCGATGACAAGTATAGCTGCGCAAAAGAGAAATTGATTTAGCACTAAGTCCAACTAGATAATTCCCTATTTTGGGGTCAGGTTGTTTATTTCTGTTGGTTTCATTCAAACAATTTACATTAACAGGGAATCATGATGTCACTGACAATCTCTTCGTTAAGCTGTAATGTTATTGCTTTTGTGATGACACTAAATGGAAGTGGTGTATTCTCATCCATCTCATGTATTGTTCCTCATATCCTCCAGTCTTCTGGAGACAGTTTAAGTTGCTATGTCATTAGTCATTGACTGGTTAACCCATACTGTAGTAATTTGTTTGCTAAAACTCCTCACAAATTTGAGTGGTGCGGTGTTCAATCTACATGTATCTGAGATTGTTATTTTTTGACACTTTATTGGGGCAAAACTGTAATCAGGTTTTATTAGAAACAGACATTTGATTAAAGAAATAAAATAACAAAATAACAAACATAAATAAAGAGACAGTTTAAGTCACATTATCATTAGTCTTGACTGGTTAACCCATAATGTTATTACTTGTTTAAGACTGTCAACAAACATGAGTGGTGTGTTGTATTGCTTGTCAGGTCGGTCAGTTTAACTCACTCAGTCTATGATGTAACTCAAGTGTGTCACTTTGACTCTTTGTGTTGATATCCTGCCTGAAAATTGCAGGAATTGCACTCCTTCTTGGTAACATAATTCCAATATAACCATTCACAAAAATTAATTAGGCAAGCAATTTGTTTATAAAACAAAGGATCTAGATCTAGCTTCTAATCATGTTACCTCTGTTTGCAACTGTTTGCTCCAATAATTTCCTCCTTGTGCCTTGATCCTGAGTGAAAGTTCCTTGGTTTCTCCTCCCTGATTTCCTTCCCATGCCTTCCATCACTCAGTATTCCATCAAAGATTCTTTTTATTGTTCATCATCTTTCTGCAAGGAAATGGGTGTTGGGTTTGATAATTAATCCTTCAAACAAAATGCAGTGTAGGTTATATAAGGTGTGACCACTCTAAAAGTGTGCGCTGCATATTGAACAATCTTGTGCATTGTTTGTCATATCTGTCAGTTTTGCTCAGACAGTGTTGCGATGTCATTGGTCCTCTGTTGGTTAGGCCGTAGTGTTATTGTCCCTGAAGCAAACTATGGGAGGTGTGTTTCATCTTAGGTAATTTTTGTCACAATTGTCTTTATAGACAATGAAAGTTGGCATGTCCTTGATCATCTCTCGGTTATGCCATAATAGGGCCGTTTAAACGACGAAAAATAGGACGCGTCTTACATGGAACGCATCCTAAATAAGACTCAAACTATCCCATATAAAATGAAATGAGTGGTTAATCTGTCTGGTGTATTGTTCATCATAATCTGTCAGTTTCCTTTTGACAGTATACATTGCAATGTCATTGGTCTCCTCTTGGTTTAGCTGTTGTGCCCCAAGTCTGTCACCACTTGTGGGATAGTGATTTACAGATCCACATTTCAAAGAATGGATTGCACCTTAAACTGAAGCAACATCAACTATGGAGAACTGCATTGCAACTCAGTCAAGATTGTTTATTCTGATTAAGCCCTCCAAAATGAATACTTTTGAGATGTAATAACTTTTGAATTCACCGAAGTGCCTCCTGGATCTGAATGCTTTTGTCAGCAAATGGGATGTTCTGTTATTGCCACAGTGTTTTTTTGTGGGATAGCGATTTTCATTTCAAGAATGGATCAGGCATCCAAGTATGGAGAACTGCATTGCAACTCAGTCAAGATTCTGATACTAATGAAAAAAATAATTTGGTTTCACCCATGCATCCTCTAAAGTTCATAATTTTCCACTCCACAGAAGGCCAAACATTTTATTGGTCAATTATGACAGCCGTTGACAGCATCAAATGCTGGTGCACAAACTCAGGCATGACAGGCCAAGTGGGCGGTTTTCAAAATCCGGAGGTATGTCTGCAAGCGTTTCCTTCCTTTCTTAGTCCCCACTCCCTCCCCGCTCTTTTACTTGCACCATCTTCCACGCGGTCTTTGACTTTCATTCCTCGTTCTTTTCACCTAAACCGCACAGAAACGCTTGCTATGCAGGCTATAGCACTAATAGTAATCATAGATTGATGAGAACATTGCAGTGTGTTTCTTAGCTCCAGATTATCTTTTATGCTATCAAGCAGTATTTCAAAGTAGGGAGCCTAATACTTGTAGATCATGAATTTTTTTTCAGTACAAAGTAAATATTCAGGGTAGGGTAAAATGCAGACTCAGACTGTTCTCATCTGCATTTTACGCTGACTGGTAAACATTCTTAACACGTCTTAGTCTCCGTCAGTGGTTGATCAAAATGTGAATATTCAACAGTTTTCTTCAGACAGTGTAAGTCAGGATGTTACAAGTGGTGTCACTTGGTTAAGCTCTTATGTCACGGATTGTGAAGACACTTCATGTGAGTGGTGCTACTCTGTCTTTTATAAAGCTCATCATATTTGATAGTTAAATAGGAAGCCAGTGAAGTTGGCCATGCCATTGGTTGTCTCCTGGTTATTGATTGGTTGTTAAGGTTCTAAAGTAATGTAATTTTATACTTTGTTTCTGTAGTTTTTGTTTCATCAGTATAAATTGTGCTTAAAACTGAAATTGAAATCCACCTTGAATCAAATACTTTTGGTCACATGTGATTGCTGCAAGCATTTGCAGAATCAAATATCAAGCACTCATTCAGCTCATCTCAACTAATTTGTTAATTACACAAAGGATTCTAACATCTAATCACACTACCTCAGCTTTTCTCTGGTTCCTCCATTTCCACCTTGTGACTTGATCCTGAATGAAAGTTCTTGGTTTCTTTCCCTGAGTTCCTTCCCATGCCTTCTTTGACTGGTCTTCTGTTAAACGATCTGCATATTGCTCAACTTTCTGCAAGGACATCATTGTTTAGTTTTGATTATCAATCATTCAAACAACCAAAGTGGTAATTTTGTGGCTAAGACACTGACTTGATAACTCAGTTTAATAAACATTTCTCTTTTGGTGTCAGGTTTTTCTTTCTGTCAATTTCTTTTCGACAAGTTAAGTCATCATGTAATCGGTCATCTCTTGGTTAAGCTGTAATGTTAATGCATGTGAAGACATTAACCATAGGTGGTGTGTTTTGATCCAAAGTCATGTATAATTTGTTCATCATATCCTTCAAGTTTCTTGACACAGTTTAAGTCGCAATGTCATTAGTCATTAACTGTTTCACCCATAATTTATGTTAATGCTTTCTAAGACTCTTAAGAAATGTGAGTCGTGATGTGTTTTGATCTGTCTCATGTATTGTTTGTCACATCTGTCAGCTCAGTTCTCTCAGTCTATGATGTCACTGTTTGTCTGTTACTATTTGACTATTTGTGTTCACATTCCACCTTAAATTGGGATTGCACTCCTTCTTGACTGTGTCTGATTGATAACTCATAAAACCATTCACAAAAATAATTATAATAACCCATTCAGGCCATGATTTCTATTTTGTAATTATTTAAAATATACTTTGATAAAATTTATAAAATATGTTAAAATACTAGTAAGGATAAAAATTAAAAAACATAAATTAATCTTGTTTTCAGTAAACCAAAATTTTGCCATCTTTTGAACTGTTTGAACTGTTTGCTCCATTCCCTCCTCATGACTGGATCCTGAGTGAATATTCCTTGGTTTCTGGTCTTTGATTCCTGCTCATGCCTTCCTTAACCCAGTTTTCCATCAAAGCAACTGCATAATGCTAATCTTTCTGCAAGGAAACCATTGTTATTTTGGATATCAGTCACTAAAACAATCAAAGAGGAGGTTTCGAGGCTAAAATGCCAACTAAATGAAGTTAAATAAAATATCTCTTATCACTATGTTGTGTGGGAGTTCTTTTATCTTGTGCTACATTGTGGATCCTTTCTCCTCTTAACATGCTGTATGAGAGTAGTTCCTCTGTCTTGTTACGTTGCGTGTTTTTTACCACAACAAAACAGTCTTTGTAAAATTAAATAATGAAAAAAAATGATGTCTTAACGATAAGATTCACTTCAGTGACAACCACTGAAAGGTACCACATTCTTCTTTAAAATTTACTTAGTGTCAAAATTAAACTTCAATAAGCCACACTATGCAAGATGAAATAGAATCAGCAATATCAAAACATCAATAAAAACAAACCATTTGGCAACAACCCTTTCAATTAATGGGTTAGATGAAATTGAGAGAGGATCTAATTTTTGGAAAATATTTAATTCAAACTTAGTAAAATACTCGGTGTAGAGTGAACGTTTAACGAGCACTGAATAATTTATGTGAATTGGTTGGATGAATTTAAAGAAGTTCAGGATAGCGTGTTTTAGGGGACTAAATTAAATACAAAATAAGACAGGGAACAATAACAATTAAAGTAAAGCTAAAGCCCATGAACGAAGAGCAAAACTAATAAAGCTGGCCCCAGTTTTTCAAAAGGTGGATAATGCTATTGGTTGGTCAAGAATTGGAATCCAATATCTCTGATAAATGTCGATGCTAATTGGCATCTGAAACTTTGGAAAACTATTTAGAAAATGTGCTTCCTGAAATAATTCATTTTAATGAAAACACGCTTGTTGGTAGTCAATCTCACTTCCTTCCTTAAGGCCATTGAGGGACGTTATCCCAGGTGTGACTTTAACTCTCTCAACATCAAGCAGCTAATGGCGCAATTCAGGCTAAAGCAGCTTGTGTGAGTTCCAACCAGAGGAGAGCCGACACTGGATCTACATTGTAATTATTATCAACATGATTCAATTGTACGACAAGGAACTCATACAAACTTTCCCACCATTTGATCTGTCTGACCATTCCATGGTTCTACTGGAGCCCAAATCCAGATGCATGCGCAACACCAGCAGTCTTCGTTCTTTTACTCAAAGGGACACACATCCTAGTTGTAAATGCGAGCTCAGCAGGTACTTGGGCTCCCTTGACTGGTCTGCACTTGTTTTCGCGCCCAACTGTCAAAGCAAGTTCCAGCTTTTTTGTGACCTAGTCAAGATCAGTCTAGACACCATCATACCATTGACATTTGCAAGACCATCAAATTACACGTGAACGATGCTCCTTGGGTGACTCCTGAGTGCAAGGCTCTTATCAAGTTGCAGCAAAAGGCGTGCATGCCAATCAATTTGGCTCCATTCCAGAATCATCTACCCTGCAGGCTCTCATTTCAATGGTGTGCACTTGGGCGCAAGCATGGATGGGACTAGATAAGAGGTGAGAGTCATGCTTCTGGATTAGAAAGCGTTTGATCTGGTGGATCATAAGATACTGGCCGACAAGATCTTCGCATTACGCATAGCTAGTGGGGTTGCCTGCTGGGTGGGCGATTCCCTTTTTGACAGGCATCAGCAAGTCAAGCTCTCAACGGATTGCTCCGCAGAATAGGGTTCTGTTCCATCTGGTGTCCCTCAAGGAACTAAACTTGGCCCTTGGCTCTTTATTCTTATGATCAATGATCTCCAGATGATCACCACTGTCTTTATTGATCATTATCATTATATTTTTTTTATAGTTATTGTTATCGTCAACGTTATTAATATTATTGTTGTCATTGTTTTGTTGTTGTTATAATATTCTTCATCATTATTTGGATCTGCTACCTTCTTCTTGATCCCATTTTCCTCTCATTTTTCACTTTACCAACAAATCTCCCCCCGGCATCCCCCACGAGTTAGAGGCTGGAACGTACAACATTTCAGACTAGATCACAAATTAAAATATATATTTTGTCCATGGACTTTCTTTTACATAAACAGATTACAAATATGATTTCAACTAGATTGGAGAAATTCTGCTGAGCATTACAGCGTGCAACATTGCAAATAATTATTTTTATCAAACTAAGACTGTATTGCAAGGGGTAAAAGAGCTGCTCTCGGGGCTTGCAATTCCCCTCTTATTTAACGATTTTAGACATTCAGTGAATTAAATATCACAAGTGGATCACCTCTACAAGCTCTTCTTCACATAATTATATAGTTCTATTCTTCAGCTACTAAATTATCTCAAAACATTTGGCAGCCATCCTGTTTCAGTCTTGGACTTGCCTACCTTAATTGGTAATGCCCATGCTCTGTCATGCTATGTATTTCCATCGCCCAAATAACCAAGAATCGAGACTATGTCATTCTAAAACTGTTACGTCTACAAGAATGTAGATTCTCAACAGCTGTTCGCCATGGTTCTGAAGCAACGAAGAACATGGACATTCAACAACATTCACCATCCGCCATGTGTGTTCTTGTTTTCCAAGATGGCGCCTTAGGGTTTGTGGAAGCGGTAAGCCAGGAATGTTGGAATCGGGAGTTCGGAAACCATGGTTTTCGGAGCTGACGCGTTAAGGAGGCTCGCACCCATTTTTCAAGGTCTCACCCCTTCGTGTTTGATGCTCCATAACGTTGGCTGTAATGCATGTATGAAAAAAAGCACGAAAATGGCACAAAGTGGAAGGTTGTTGCGAAAACTAAGACCCCCGAAAACTAAGACCTAAGACCTAAGACCCGAAAACTAAGACCCGAAAACTAAGACCCGAAAACTAAGACCCCCTTATTTTCTTTATTTTTGCCCTTCAGTTCGTCATTTTTCCAACCTCCAACCTCCCGCGTACATTTACAACTCAACAGTGTACGCTATGGCGTTTACCATCTTAGGTCTTAGTTTTCGGGGGTCTTAGTTTTCGCAACAACCCAAAGTGGAACAACATATCTGACCGTGAACTTAATTTTAGAATATGATTTGCTGACAACGCCGCTTCCATAGGAACAGAATAACGATGACATGAAATCTGCAAATTGGGACTTTTCTCAAAATATCATATCTCATTGTATACTTATTTGTATAGTATGTAGTGAGAATTTGTTACTATGGCAATATGAATAAACTTTTTGAAGAGTTATAGCTATTCGCTCAAAACAAGAACGCCGGAAACAGAAACTGAACTTGATAGCAAAAACGCCATAGAAGGCCTCGGGGAATTATGAAAAAGTCGTTTAGCTGATCATTTCATATAGCACGAAAAGTGCGGCGGAGAGTAAGGATGACCTAGCCTCCCCTCCCTCCCTCAGTATTAACCCCCCCTAAATTTGACTTGGGAAAGAAAATATGTTATTATCAGCGTTTCCACGTTTTTGGTTTAATCATTAATCCTAACTTTTTTAACCTACAAGTTACACTTACTTACTTTTCTTTCTAGCAAGGTTTTACTTGTTCAAAGGTTTTCTCTCAAGATTTATGCGACCGATCGAGTTTAGAACTCGACGTTGCACGTGTCAGCGTAGTATCAAAGTTTAAATTCGTTTCCTGGTTTTGGAAACTAAGTTAAGGTAACTTGTTTAAAGTAAGGCTTACCTTCGACCTCGGCAATTGTTGTTCACGTATATCCTCAACTGCTTTTAAAAAAGTACAAACAAGTCCTCAAATCGGCGCCATATTCCGGGGCTCGTTGCAACTCATTCAAATTTTTTGCATTAATTACCTCGAGCTTCCCGATGTGTTCATGAATATTCAACAGTGCGCACTTGTTTAACGAGCGAATTTAAAACTGCGAAAACAAATATATGAAAGATTGGAAAATGAAAGCTGTAATTACTCTTTGTTGGACCTTATGTTTTGAAACGCTAAATTGACAACAAAACTGATATATTTGTGGTAATTCAATTTTATCTTGGGTTTGAATATTTGAAAATAATACTTTAACGATTTTCTTAAATGAATTTCGAATTGTTAACTATCTTTTAGGATTTCTCCTGACCGTTGAATGAAACAAGTCCATCTCATTCTGTTTCTCTCCCACGCTTTTAGTCAGCCCAATCAGTTACCACGTCCGAGTTAACTAACACAACACAGGGTAAAAAATTCAAGCCACAAATCTGCCTTAAAGGTGTTCAACAACAACGCTCTTTGAATCCTTTACATTTGTTGAGTGGATAAATCAGATTTATCCATGAAGACCTTTACCTGACAATTCAATAGTTAATACCATCTCTGAGAAAAAGTTTCATTTCAAAAAAGCATCTTCTCTTAAATAATAAACTTTTTTAATTCTGAAGCTTTACTATTCAAAACTGAAAATAACTTGATAGAACATCATCAATCCTTGAAGTGCTTACCATTTGACAGAAAATTTCGGAATTTACGGATGGAAGGTAAATGGTAAGGTCACTTTTCGGAAATTCCAACCGAAAATTGAGGAGTAAGTTTTTAGGTAGTCCATTGATTCTGGTAGGTACGAACCAAACGGAATTTTGCTTACCATTTACCAATTTCTCGGTTCCTTCTCGGTTCCAGACTCGCGCTACACAAATTCGCCCCATTTTTGGATTCAAACTGTAACGGATGTGGCAATTCCGTGGTAAACTGGAGAATCGCTTACCATTATGCTTTCGACACCCCAACCGGATTTTTCTGTCAAATCGGTAAGCACCTCGGTCTCCAGATTAGAGTCTGAAATCTCCCGGATAATTGCCGAAGTTTGCAATGTCTTGTAGATTTGACTCTCTGTCAATGAAATTTCAAATATTTTGCGTTGTTTGAGCTATTTAACTTTTAGCATCGAACGTTTCCTCAGAAACCTCAGTATGCCATTGTAATGTAAGCAATAATGTGATTGGTGGTAGGTAAACCAATCATGGACAAATGTTACAATTCCAACAACATCTTTTTCGCATGCTTTTTGCACAAATGACGCCATGTTTCTTGCATTATGACGTCATCTATTATCCCTTCCCTGTCAATTCTCAATATTTGAAGATGTGGGGGGTTGACAACCC